AACAGAATTTGATTTTTTCTCTTCTATCGCCGCTGCTTCACGTATCAGCGTGTTTACTGGCTTGCCGGTGTAATTTTTATGGGCATAACGCAAACGGCGCATAACACGAGTTGTTTGCGCGTAAGTTGGTTCTTTCCTACGAACGCCACAGAAACTGGCTTCGTCAAGTGCAACGTAATGAAATATATTGACTGGGGTGTTGCCAAACTCCTGCCTTAAGATGACGTCGATAAAGTGATTCTCTAAAGTCGCATTGTAAAATGCGCACATTTTCTTCTTAAGAACAGCGTTGATTCGCTTTCTCTAGTGATCCATCGGCGTTCTTTATATTTAAGTTTCACGTTAAGTAGATTTAGCTCCACTCGCCTGAAAACTACTTAACTAGTACTCACCGAAAGCTCGCCTTCCGGTTGCGAATAAATTATACGACTTGCGAACCTGACCTGTCTCTCTACCTTGAACAAGACCCGTGAGACACTGGCCGAAACTTCCGTAGTGGTCAGTCAATCAGATGACTTGACCAATTGTTTTCATTGTGTGTAAATGAGCCGTGCTTTGTGCTGTTTTCAGAATGAACAAAAACGCATTAGTCAAATACTCAATCAGAAAAACAAGCGAACCATCTTTCTGATACGTGTTTAGGAAACCAGAATGTAATACTTGGTTTTTGAAATACGGATCTACAATTGAAAATTCTTTCAAGAATATTCTAACGACGCAATATGATTACGTCGTTGTGGATTTATAAATTAAACCCAACTGCGCAAATTGCACCGGGCCCATATTCCACTTTCAGTGCTTGAATTTTCTAACCATGTGTCAAGAAAATATTCCGTTGACGAATTATGAATCCAGAATCGAAAATTCTTCCAAGAAGTTCTAGGCGAACAAACATTTATGCAAATATAATTTGTCATTTCATTTCAGCTTCCATGACTGATTCTCCATTTCGGTCGAGGAGGGAAAACTCATCAGATAGTGCTTCCAACGTTCTCGATTCTGTGCCAGCGTCCGAGGCATCTTCATTCGTTTAAGATACGCATGGGAAGCTCTTGCGTTTCGGCTTGCGCTTCCCTCGCGCATTAAGTGCCGTCAACTTGTTATAGAACCAAAACAGACTCATCGTAAAAGCGACGTAAGTGAAGCACTTTCTACTATGCAGCGGCAATTGCGAACTGCATCTGCAACGCCAAAGCAGAATTTCAATGTGAAAAGAAAGAAGCTTCACAACTGCCGTGCGTCTCAAGTCGAACGATGCCCTTATTATACTACAGTGTCATTGTGGAAACTGCAAATCGTAAAATGCAAATACACGTCTACTTGAACATCATTTCAAAGTTGTGAGTGAGCTTTTGTAAACCAGTGGCCCTGTAGGCGCAGACAACGGGAATACAGAGACCGAGAGTGTTTGTGATACGGACTCAAATATCTGCAGGGCTGACAGGTTAAGGAAAGAATGAATGCGTTACACCAGCAACGTTATCAAATATTCCCGACCTTGTACCAGCGCTTGAGCTTTGCCAGACGATAAGCGCAGTCAGGAGAAGAGTATCCAGAGACATTCTCCCCAGGTCATTCTTGGCCCTTTCCAAGGTCTTCGATCGGTCGGTTGGTCAACTACTAGTTGTATTCTATCTGATTGACCTTATTTTCTGGAAGCAAACCAGAAACCAAACCACTGCAGCAGTAACTTCTCAGTCTTGAGAAGCAGCGGTTGTACACCTAGATTACCTCGGATAATCAGCAACCACGTCGAAATGTGTGAGCCCAGCGATTCGATTTAAAAGCTCATCTCAGCAGTTGTACCCGGAATCGAAATTTTTCGCCCACGGTTCACGGCTCATGACCGTAGGCGAGCATGGGGATAAAGATCGAATTTTGCTCTGCTTTAGACACAACGTTTCGAGTTAATTCACGTAAAATGTCGTTGGCCATTCCAATCCGCCGGTCGATCTGTTCCTCCCATTTTTCATCAGCAAACACGACCCCGAGGTACTTGAACTTCTCCACCTGTTCCGCTGCTTCTCCGTTTACCTGTAAAAAACAGCGAGAATAGAACGACAATGCACTAGGCTTTATATTTCAGATGCGTTCACATGCATTTCCGCCACGTCACCCTTGGCTGCGAACCTTTCCAGGGAACACTGTAGATCAGTTTCAGAAGATGACAATAAAACAAAGTCGTTCGCCAATAGCAAACTACTCGCCAAGCTGATACACTCCTCACAGTGGCTGCAACTGACTATTCTATCCATGTACAACACAAATTGGAGACGAAACAGAACGCAGCCTTGACGGAAACAAGTGTCAACTTTGAAAGGGTTTCCTCGACTTAAACACATTTACTCTGGTGCCATGAACATATAGTAACAACTGGTCATCGATCCAATACGTTTGCGGTCAGGCCCAAGGATTGTTGCGCACGATATGATCATAGGCTTCTTCCAGATCAACAAAGCACATATAAGCCGGATAAGCAAATTTGCCCGATTGTTCAACAATCTAACGTTAAGGCAAAGACGATAGTTGT